TAATTGAACTAGGTTCATACAGGTTTAGGCACATATTTTTATATCGCAGTTCAGTTGGTGTCTTGTCTTGATCCTGTAAGCCTGCAAACATCATTGATTTGGACATAATGTGGAGGAAAAAAAGGTGAAACAGCCCTGAAATGGATGGCAAGAGGCACAAATGTTACATCTTTCCAAACCCTCTCCTGTCTCTGAGACTGTTGTCTCTTGCAGCAAGGTGTCACTCCCTGCTGATTTAGGCTTTACACTCCCAGTGAAGTGGGAAGCTGTCCCCAGCTGGAATAGCGGTCAATGCCTTACAAATCCGAGAAAATCAGCAAGTACTGGAAAGCTGTATCAGTCTGCACTTACCATGCCTGGTCAATCTCACTTCCATTATTGTGGGGCTTCCCAGTGGCATTCCAGGGTTTAATTTTCACTTACTTTGTGTGACCTTGAATAAAACCTTTCTGTGCAAATGCTTCTGAATAAACCTGTGTGAAGTATGAAGTATCAGAGGTGACAGGGCGGTCTGTGAGCTGCTGAGTTACTGCGTCTTTGCTGGTTAATGTTTGTTGGCTGACCAGCGGTGACTGATAACGTCAGCAAAGTGAGGCCTGGACTCTTAAAACCATCGTGATGGTTGCAGTGTGGTGGCATGTCCTAAAGCCCACAGTTAACGGATGTGGAACAATTAATGGTAGGTGGGCGTAACAGGGGAAAAAAAAAAAAAAAAAGAAAGCGAGACCAGGGTTACCGGGGTGGTGATCTTAATTATGTTGTTGCTTTTGTGAAAGGCTGTTGAGAAAGAATTTGGAGACCACTGTGAGAGCTTGGTGGTATTTTTGTGGAGCTCTTCCAGACCTGAGAGGGTGGGTGGGTGGGTGCAGAAGAGAAGACCTGAAGGTACGCATGTGAAAGATCGTTAGCTGTGAGAGGGGTGTGATTAACTTTCTGGCTTTTGGTATCTGAGTCAAAAGGCACACAGTGGTGAACACATAAGGAACAGTAAGCAGCAGCCTCAAGTAGTGTTCTCAGAAAGGATTTGTGGCTACGGGGGTTTTTTGGTTAGGATTTTTTGGTTTGCTCGCTTTGACTGTTTAGCCAGCTTCTTAACCTTGTATTTACATGAACCAAACCGAGTTAGTTGTTTTGAAACTGGAGCACGCCAGGCAGGTGGGCTGCTGTTGGCAAGGGTTTTCCTCCTGGTGCAGGAACCCTGACTTCATTAGAAGGTGTGGTTTGGCAGCAGAGCCAAGCTGATCTAAAGTCTTGCGGCTAGCAGAAGGGGAGGCACTACTGTCTTCCCCGCTGCTGACCGGCTCCTGTGGCTCCCCCGATGCATGCTTACAGCAGGCACATTTTAAATCCTACTCCTGAAAGTATCTTAGTCTAAGTCTTATCAAATATCAGCGGAAGTTGGGCTTCTCGGTCACTTAGTGTTTTTGAAGATGTTTTCCTGCAGTACATTGTATTTCTTCCTCGATAAGATTAAGATTACCTATGAGAGTAATGATAGTAGTTCCTCAATTAGGTGACCCTCCACCTGAGGAGGAGGGAGATGAATCCTGTATCTATTGCACACCACCAACTCCTGGTCAATAATAAACTGCACACATAAGGAGCGCAGGACAGACCTTGCGCAACTGCAGATGAATTATTCGGCTCCTCTGGAACATCCAACCTTTGATCAGGCTCTAAGCATCGCTGTGTGACACATGACAAGGTTCATTTGCCATAGCTGATGACAATGATGAGTTTGTGAACACACATTTCTCCTATTGTTCAGTTGAAATGTTTAGTGTTTAGCATTTTGTTGTCTTTTATTTTCGGGGGGGGGGAGGGGGGCAGGTGATGTTCATGTTTTTTTGGTTAAAAAAACACCCAACTCTATACATGAATAATATGGATTCATGTCATTGAAAAGAAAAGTGGAGATGGCAGGACTCCTGGTATGTTAGATGCAAACACAAGGAGAATCAGGTGTTCAGCGCAAATATCCTCTAAAATAATAAACAAATGTTTTGTATAAATAGCCTCTCATTGGGTAATAACATAAGGCCAGAGAACAGTTCAGTTCATGGCTTATGTTGAAAAATACAGCATGGAATGACAGAGTCAGGCAGGCTGATGCTTGGGAATGGGATCATTTGTTTTCCGCGGTTTTGAGTTTCGGAAGGAGGCCTGCCTGCTGCCGACGGGATGTGCTTTTTGTGAATTTGGTTCGCACATAAGGTTCTGAAAAGTCAGAGGGGTATTGTGAGGGGGTATTGCCAAAGTATGCGATAAACAAAAGCAAGTAAAATGATGGGAAGCTGTTTGTTCATCATGTGACAGGAGTTTTAGCGTAACTTTCCTTTTGTTGTTTGAGCATCATTAAGAAAACCCACGCGTGACAGTACAACCAAGTTTCTAGCAGCTTGGTAATAATTTGCTGTTAGATCAGATGGCTGTAGCTGGGGGTAAAACAGGAATCAACATGCTTTTTGTTTGAGCTGGCGGGGAAGAAATGGGGAGGTGAGATGCAGGGGTGCAGGGGACTTGGTAGCAGCATACCTGTTTCTCAGTCACATGGTGTACGTTGTTCCTGTCGCTCAGGAAGGATGCTATGCCCCTGAAGTCAACATCTGGGGAGAAGGAGATGAGAAACTTTCTTATCTTCAGGCAGTTTTACAGAAGAGAAAGTAACAGAAGGACAGATTGTGAATTATGTCAGGCTTTTGCTGTTTTGTCTGTAGGGCTGCAGAAATCACTGTGACTTACTCCTGTGGCATTTTTTGTTTTGTTGTTCTTTTTGCGATTTCCCTTTCTTATTAAATGTAGTGTCTTTTTGGCTTTGCTTTTAGATTGCCCTTCTTTTCATGGAATCTCACCTCTTGCTCATCATTCAGCAGCTGTTTCCACATAGCTTAGCGGTTCTACTCTGAACGCTCCATGGTAGTATTTTCCTTCCTTAAGAGTGGCTTTTTCCTTTGTAGTCTCTTCTTCCTTGGCCACCTCTTGGTGAAAGAATGCAGAAGGGCTCTTGACTTGAGTGCAGACAAACATTTCCTCACTTCCTGGTAGCCTTGCAGTTTGGCTGGGCTCTCAAATATTCAGAAAGGTTGAGGAGGAGCCTCGTGCTTGTCCGTAGGACATCTGCGTCCCAAATAATGTCCTTTGTGTGCTGAGTTGTCAGTAGGGCTGTACTAGAGAAGACCAGGCATTAGTTCTTTGCTGCTTACGAGTGTTCTTTTGCCTAGGAAGTGTGCCCAAACTCTACTCGCTGTGGCACCAAGACCGTCACAGGCTGGAAGGGGGTCTCTCCACTTGAAGCTTGCTTCTGCTGCATTTCTCCTTACTGTAAAGCTGGAGGAGTTGCTTCTAGTGTTGCTTCTAATTAGCTGGCCTGCCTCATCCTTGTGGAGAGTGCTTTTTGTAGTCTTATATGGAAACGAGATTTAACGGTATCTTCTGACTACTTTTTTTGAGGGTGTGTCTGCTTGGGCCCACGACTGTAATGCAGGGAGCTGCTGCTGCTGGAGCTACTTCTGCCACCAGCAACATGAGAACTGGGGGACAAGTGATTTGGGATTCAAGCTTTGCATTGGGTTGTTGTGATATAGCTGCTTATTTTGAGTTAGCTTGTAGAATTGCAGAAACAGCTAAAAAACTATCTAAGCAAGCAGAGTGGAAAGAGAAAATGAGACAATTTCAAGTGCTTTAGATAAATGTGTCAAGCTCTGCAATCAGCAGGCTTGGTGCTTCATGTGGGTAATGTGCCATCCAGCATAAAACTAACCTGAATTTTCTAGGCGCAACACAGTATAAGGTCCAACCAAAAGGTTAGCCCTTCTGCAGGTGATGTTAGAGCTGCCGGGACTAGAGACTGCCTCCGCTTGCACCCACGGTGATGCCAAAACCAGACCCTGAGGTGTGTGGGCAGAAACCTGCCGTGCCCACAAGCCTCCCTGACACAAGGCACTGTGACCTGTGGATCTCCAGCACCATGCTGGGGATCTGCCTGTCCTTGGAACACGTATCTCTGCATGCTTGGTTTTGCCTAGTCATGTGTAGCTTCGCAAGGTGAATAGTTGCGTTTAATTCTTGATAACAATTGCTGAAGTAATCTGTTTGTTACACGACAAAAGTGGCTCCTGCAGTTGGTTGGCATCAGCTGGCAATGGGAGTCCCAGGAAATCAACATTTTCCTCTCAAGGACCTGCAGACCTCAGTCTGGGGCTTTTATTTCACTCCTTTAGGAGCGTTTTGTGCTGCCACATGGAAGGAGGTGAAGAAAAAAAATTTACAGGCCAGTTTGCACACTAAAAGGAAGGGAAATGGCTCATTCGGAAGTAAAAGCATGAAGTTGAAAGACTAAAAAACATTTTCAAAGCAAAATTCTGGTGTGCTTGTCAGTATTACTAGCAGAGTGGTTTCAGACTGCAGCTAATTGGCAGGTGCTGATACTTTATGAATATGTACATATATAGAAACTAGATTTTGGAGTATATACTGTTTTGAACTTTGACTACACTGAGTTTGTTTCAGAAAATGTAAAATACTCTTTTGTGAGAAGTAACAAAGTTTATACAGCAATAAGATGAAAGGAAAAATCTTATGAATAAGAAAGACTTAATTCGCATCTACCATTTTTTGTAGGATGGTGTCAAGGGTACTAACTAAAGTGTCTTTTGACTAAGATCTTGCAGGTTTTGTTTTTAAATTTATATGTGCAAAATTATCAGCATATGTTATGCAAGCTGTTTTTTTGACAAAATAAACTGGTTTTTAAAAAAGAAAAGTGGAAACTAACATTTAACCAGCATGTTTGCTTTTTTTCTCTAATAGTTTTGTATACTTCTGGTGTTATTTTTATGTCAGTAGATTTTTATGTATGTCTTTTACAGGATGAAAAGTCTGGATTTTTTTTAACTGATTTCCCCGCCCCCCTGCCATGTCTTAATTAAACCAGTCTTTGTTTTATTTGAGCTTCCACTGTTTTAAAGTTTTAATTTCTATTATTTATTTTTGTGTTCCAGGTCAGATGTACAATTGCCTGTAAGTATCATTCTGTTGCCTAATATTATATATATTTTTTTTCTTGTATAACTCTCACTATATTAATTTCTTTTAAGAAAGATCAAACAGTATCAGTTAAGTATTTAAAAAAGCCTTCCTGAACAGAATTTTTACGAATAGCATTCAAAAACCTAAACTCGCTCATTTTAGTGACTGTAATTCCTGCAATGCATGTAAGGTTATTTAAAGATATAAATGTGTACTTTAATCCCTTTGCTTTTCAATTTGTAAAGAGTTCTGGTAAAATCAGCTATGGATATAATGTGCTCGGAAAGATTGGAAAATATGCTTAAAGGCAATACGAAACAAACCAACCCCAAAACAAAAAAAGACACCCGAAGTGATGCTTTAAGGATTTTCTGAAGTGAGTATAGCAACTGCTGTACTTGCCAAGATGACAAGTTTTCATGTGGCAGAAATTTCCAAAAGTACGTGCAGATGAGTTCTACCTTAATATTGAACATCAGACTTGCATGAGTTAGCCTTTAAATTTTAGGACCTGAATCAACTCTCTCCACACTTTGGGCTGTGCTACATCAACCTAAAGTTGTTTTCCATAGGCATACAATGTCTTTTCCTTGATTCTGGGAACACACTGTGGGAATATGAGAACTTTTTTGCTTATACGCTGAGGGGAAGAGACAAAATTGCTCTACCAGATTAAGTAAAGCAGTTATCTTCTGATAGCACATGAGGAAAATGCACACACAGAATGTGGCTGCAAGTTTGTTTAATTCTTTTCAAACAAAACTGCCCTGAAAAAAAGAGCAGATCGTGATAGCTTTCATCCAAATCATGAGCAGAGTCAGTGAATGACCGAAATAATGTGGCAATGTCTTAACCTAATTCGAATCATCTCACAGAAGTTAAAAGTGGTAAAACGGGGAAATGTGTAGTGAATTCTCTGTAGGAGAACACACTGGAAAAACAGAAGTTGACTGTGTGTCTGTGCTTCATATCTGTAAATGACTATGCTTTTGCAAATGGGAAACCCAGAAATTTTGTAGATACTTAGTGCTTTATATTCTTTCTTCCAGGCACTGAGAATTGCAGCTCAAAAAATGTAAGAGCAGAAACAGGAACCAGTAGTAATAATGATAATTTATCAGTAAACTCTACAAGTGGGAACAAATCCTATGGAGGTGGAAGATCGACCAGGGATGTGTCACTATCCGACAGGGCAATAAGTGATCAGAACAATGTAGCACGTAAGTGGTTTGGAATGTGCCTGGGATGTGAATCTTTAGGGTGTTTTGTGCTTTTATACTGCGTCAGCTTTTTAAGCCCGAACTCCAGTCCAGAGTGCAAAGAGCATTGCAGGGGTGCAGATCCAACTGCTTTGCTGGAGTAGAGAATGAGCCAAAGAAATGTATCTGCAGAGCTCGCTGGGAGTGCGATTTAATGCTGTGATTGGCTCTTGGCCTTGAAATAGTTTTATCACTGTTAGACTTGCACTCCCTTCCCTGCTTATTTTGGCTTTTTAGTTAGCTGCAACAGTTCAAACATACTGTGACATACAGATTTGAAATACATACATAACAGAGTACAGTTGAAGTACTCTACCTAGTAGAGGGGGTGCTATATCATGTATCTGGAGAAGAGGTGTATGAATCTTGTAGCTAGAAAAGCTCTTCTCTTTGGGATAGCCAGCTTGGGAAAAAACAACAGCGGGTTGTGCGTTCTAGTTTTACCTCAGCACCCTGCATGAAGTTGACAGCTGAGGCAGGAGGGTAATCACTGCTGCACCTAGACAGTTTTACTCCTTGAGAGAAGTGAAAATTGAGGACTTGGAGTAGATTGCAGAGCTAGCCAGTGTGCCTTGCAACGTATAAGGATGGCTTGATTATTGTCCCAGGCTGATAATATTTTACAGAGACCTGTTATTTGGGTAGGAGGGGGAGAAGAGTGCTTTATGTGTTAGTCAGCAAATATTCTTGCAGGTTAAAACTTTTTTTTTCCCTTGCCTTTCACAGAGCCCAGCCCAATTCTTGGTCTCATGGCAGAATATGTTGGTGTTACTTCTGTCAACTTAACATGGGCAGTGAACAACACTGCTTCCAACTCCTACATGTACAGGATAGAGGCTGTAACTGGTACCTCTGTTAGGAACCTGACATCCAATGTCACTGAAGCAGAAATTACTGAGTTAATCCCTGGGACAATGTACAGTTTCACAGTATTTGCAGTAGCGGCTGATGGTCAGACAGAAGGAGGGCTCTCCATACACCTCTATACAAGTAAGTCGCAGTTTCTTGGAGCCCTGTTTCTGGTGGACTGTATTTTTCTGTGCAGCTCAGGGCTCTACCTACCTATGTGAGTATTGTAATTCAATACTATCGTGTGTTGACATGATATTTTAGTCCTGAAGCCTGATCTGGACTATATGCAAAGGATGAGATGTTAGTGTGCAGCAGAAACATAGCCCTGAAGTTTTTGTTTTGATTTTAGTTATCTCTTTCCTCACCTCCCCTCCATTGTCTCCTCTTTCCTGCTTACCTCTCTGGATTCCTAAGGGAAGCCCTGGGACTGATGGCACAGTGATGACCTGTGACTCTGGCTTGGAGTGTCAAAGG